CTTTCCCTGCGCCTCCCTTTCCCTGGGCCCGTCGCCGCTCCCACCCCTTTCCCTGGGCCCTCCTCAAGCAATGGGCCCGCCTCCTCAGCGAGCGCGCCAGCCAAAGCGAAACTTAGCAACGTCGCAATGAACTCGAAGGGAAGCCCATTCCCTTTGATCCCTTCCCGCCGGGAAGGGGGGTAGGAACAAGGAAAGCCGACACCAACACCAGCAGGGCGAGGAGGTGCGACAAGGCAAGGGGGGTCTCCCTGGTGGTGTGGTCCCCCCCTCTCGCTCGAGACATCCCCAGCCTCCAGCTCGGGGAGGCCTCGTGGACCTCCTCGCTGGAGGTGGCCCCCCTGGTGGTGTTGGTGTCGCTCCTCCTCCCTCCCAGGGGGGGGGTCCCAGGAGGGTCCCGGAAGGGTCCTGCATGGGGTGTGTCTCGGGGTAGGGGGCCCCGAGTCAGACACGACTCCCCCTCCCGGGGGGTCCCGGGGCCCAGACAAGCCCCAAGACGGGCCAAGAGTGCCCCAAGGGGCCCCCAAGACGGTCCAAGAGGGCCCCGAATCGCCGAACGATCTGTCCAGAACGTCTTCACGGCCTCGAGATGGCCCAAGGGCCCTGCAAGACGCCCCAAAAGGCCTCCAGGAGCAATCCCAAGAGGGCCCCAACAGGAAAATCATGGATGTCCCATTGATTTTTGAAACACTTCGGCGTTCTCGCCTCTTCCGCTTCCCAACGCTCCAAGACGACCCAAGAGGCCCCCCCAAATCGCCCTAAGACGGCCCAAACGATTCCAGGCGGGACCCAAAACGGCCCAAGATGGCTCCCTAACGGCCCAAGACGCCTCCGAGACGGCGCAAGAGGCCCCCAAGACAGCTCCAAGAGGGTGCCCAGACGAGGGACCAATATTTCGAGCCCTCGGCCCCGAGAGGCTCCCAGGAGGAACCAGGAGGCCCCCAAGAGGCCCCCTAGAGGCCTCAAGAGGCCCCCAAGAGGCCCCCAGGAAGCCCCGAGAGGCCCCCAAGAGGCTCCCAAGAGGCTCCCAAGAGGCTCCCAAGAGGCTCCCAAGAGACCCTTAAACTGTCCCCCAGAGGCCCCCGAGAGCGCTTCGAAGAGACCCCAAGAAGCACCTGTAAGGACTCTGACCCACGTCAGCGTCGTCGTCGACGCCGCCGCCGTTGTCGTCGCTCCCTTTCAGGGTCGGCGGCGCGGGCCGTAAGGCTTTCACAATATAATCCACCTAAGGCTCGATCCAGCTCTGCTGGAATCCTACTCGGTACGATCTAGCTCTCATAGAAACTTGCCAGGATTGGGTCCAGCCTTAATTTAAACCCACGAGGGTTGGATTCAACTCGTAAAGAAATCTGACGAGAACTCGATCCAGCTGTACTATCATCCCACGAAGGCTCGACCCAGCTCTCATGGAATCCTGCCAGGACTCGATACAGCTCTAATGGAATCCTGCTAGGGCTGGATCCAGTTCTGATTAAAAAACGACTAGAGTTCGATTCAGCTATAACTGAAGCCTACTAGGTCTGAATCCAGCTCTAAGAAATCCAATCAGAGCCAGATCCAGCCAGCTCTACTACAATTCTACTACGGCTCACTCCAGTCTTGCTAGACTCCTGGTATGGTTGGATCCAGCTCGATCATAATCCCATTCAGGGTCGATCCACCTCTCATAGATTCTTTTCGATGTCGATCAAGCCCTTTTCAAAACCTTTCAGGGCTGATTCCGCCATGATAGAGGCCTACCAGGGCTGGGTCGAGCCCTAATCAAATCCTACCAGGGCTGGATCCAGCCCTGATCTGGAGCGTCGTCGTCGTCGTGGTCGCCTTCGTCGTCGTCGTCGTCGTCGTGGTCGTGGTCGTGGTCGTGGTCGTGGTCGTCGTCGTCCACGTCGTCGTCGTCGTCCACGTCGTCGTGGTCGTCGTCGTCGCTACCCGACGGCGCCGGCGCAGGCGCCAGCGCTTGGGGCGTCGTCGTTTGCCACTGGCGAGGGGACAGGGGGTGCTGGTTCGAACCTCCCCCCGCGTTGCATTTCAGGGGTGGGGGCGAGCCCTGATTCGAACCCCCCCGCCCCCCTCCCCAGCGTCCACGCAGAGCGCTCTCTCGAATGTCAACGTATGGACTGCAGTGGAGTGCCCCAGAGCTCGTGCAAATGTGAACGTTGAGTGGTACAAGGGGCTGAAGACATGTAGAATCTCAAGGGCACAGCCTAAAATCTATAACATTGTTACGGGGCCCCGCGTTTCCGGCGTACGTCGCGAAGGTCCCCAGGAAGCCGAAGCCTGGCCAGACCGACTCCACCATCCCACCGGGAGCCTTCCAAGAACAGAGATCCAGCAAGCCTTCAAGCCCCCGGTGGCTGCCTGCGGACCCGCCCCCGCTCTACCTTCCGCTGCCCTGCGCCAGCCCCGACGCCGCCCCCCCGCCGAAGGCGCCTCCTCCTGCCCCGCCTTCTCTCGGGGCCTTGCCGCCAGGCGATTTGGATACATACTCGTGAAGAGCGTCCCGAAGTAGAAGCTCAGGCCCTGGGCAAGAAGGCAGTTTGCAGCCAAGGCCGCGACTGAGAGGAGAAGGGCCAAGGCACTGGAGGCCCAAAAACGGCCCAGACCTGCTGCGAGGCGACGGCGGTCTTCGAGGAGAATCCGTCAACCGCCGGAATCACATCGTCGGAGCCCAATCTACTCTGTACTCTGGCGGCGCGAGAAGCGTACTGGGGGCGACATGGCCAGGACGACGGCAGCGCCTCCTCGAAAGAGGCCGGCTGCGAGCGAGAGGACCCATGGAATCTTACAAAATCCACACAAAGGCTGCAGCACGGCATGCAGGATCAGTCAGCATGGAATCGGCCAGCCGGATGAAAACGAATTGTGCGTCTGACAAGGCTGCGCCCAGCCACATCGGCTGCACCAAAATGCTCAGCAATGCCATGCAAGCGTTCAGGCAGTTCCAGATGGTCGATCATGTCAGAAGCGACTCGGTTGTGGCCGACCAAAATCGACGTCGAATCTGGGGACGTCGAATCGACGTTGACCGTGACCGCTGTTCCCTGGACCTCTCTCGCAGGGAGCGCTCTGACCGGAATCTCGAGGCGAACCCGGCCGTGGCGACGAGGGCCCCCTAGGAGGCCGAAGAATGCAGAAACGAAGCTGGGGCAGCGGTTTCGGCGCCCCCTTCCTTGGGGAACGAAGCGAATCCAGCGGCGGCGGCGAGGCCCCCCCAGGAGGCCCAAAAAGGGGACAACGAGGTAAAGGTAGCGGCATGGGTGCCCCAAATCCTTTACCAATCGCCACCCGGGTCCGTTTTTATTGTTGTCTGTTATCTCTTGTGTGTGGTCCGTTGTTTTCAAACAACTATATTTCTTAGCGCAAAAAAGAACCTGTTTGCAACCGGCGGGGTCCAGTTTATCGGGGGGGGGGGTTCCTTTGGATTGAAGCGTACCAAGGCGCCTCGTCGAAGAGAGGGGTCCGGAATATCAGGTGGCATTTGGAAGGGGGTCCACTTTTCTTTGGGAGGGATCGGTGACGAAGGGGTTTGGAATACCTTTTTCCAACCCGAAAAAACTCCCGGGAGGCTCCCACATGGCCCCCAAGGGGCCTCAGATAGCCCATGATGAACTCAAAGATGGCCCAAGATGGTACAAGCTGGTTCAAAATGGTCACCTGGGCTTAGAGGCAGATCCGTAACGCGGTTACATGAGCCCGAACACGAGAACGGGACTTACGTCCTATACGCCTGGCAGGGCCCCGAGTCTGCAGCGCGTCGGGCTTTGCTCAACCCTTTGCTCAACCGAGGATGACCAGAACGCGGAGTCCAGGACCTTTCCCCATCTCGCCGCTGCAACCACGGGGAACTGCCTTTTCGTCCAGCAATCCGTGGCGGACATGAACCAGCTGACCAAATCCTGGATTTGCTCTGGCGCCAGTGGCCGCGTGCGCTCTAGCGCCTGTGCCAGACATGGCGCACCCACGCATCGGCTCGCAACTCACGCCGTCGACACCTATGTCGCTGTAGACGCTACCTGTGATGCTACCCTGGCTCTCTGTGGCCCACCCGTTGTAATCGGCGTTGTCCATGTCGCCCAGCGCCCACTCGTGGCCATTCTTGCGCCGCTGGTACTCTAAGCCGTGGTGGTCGCCATCGCTGTCGCAACTGTCAGAGTCCGCGACCGCGCACTCGCCGATGTAATTCCAATAGCTGAAATCCTGGACGCGGCGTCGGCCAGGCGGGCCGACGGGCGGCGCTGGCCCTTGTCGGTCTGGATTTGCAATCCAACCTCGAAGTCTATCGAAGTCACAGCGATGTAGACCGAGCGCCATTCGTAGCTGGGCCGGGTTCAGGGTCGCTAGCCAGCGCAGGTGCCTGTCTCGGCGGAATCGACCCCTGTCCCATGCCAGCGTGCATCTCTCAGCGGCCAATTGCTCCACAGTCTGGTGCCTCATGCGCAGGGCGTTGTCGAAGCGATGGCGCTGCAGCTGCTCGGTGAGGTAGCTGGTGCACCAGTCCAGGTAGGCCAGCCTGTCATCATCTCGTGCATCGATGCCGGGGTCCTGGATCCATCTCGTGGCCCATCGTGAGGCAAGACGGTCCAGCCATGGCGGAGGGCTGCTGCGAGATCGCCGCTGTTGTCGGTCTGGCTGGTCTCTATCCGCTGTGATGTCGTAGTGGGTGTCGGTCTCGTGCTCAACGTGGGCGTCGTAGTCGCCCGTGACTTCCGATGTGAACGCGTAGCAGGACCAGTAGGGTCGAGCAGGGCTGTCCTGTCCATAGTCCCCTGTGACTGCTCGGACCATCATGTTTGACCAATCTTCATGTTCAAAACTGCAGCGGCTCGGATGCGTCGGCTGCTCTGACCAGCTATCATCGCCCCGCTGCCCCTCGAAGTGGATGTGGTAGTAGTGGGGGTAGATGCCGATGCTACCCCCGCAACGGAACCTTGTTGGCCGCTGCGGAAGCTGCAGATTGGGCCTAGTTGTGGGGGTAGATGCCGATGCTACCCCCGCAACGGAACCTTGCTGGCCGCTGCGGAAGCTGCAGATTGGGCCAGCTTCTCCTTGGCATCTCTGCCGACCGATGGAATCTTCTCGCCTGCCGCCGCCGCTGCTGCAGAGGGCGCAGCACCGCGTGGGCCTGCCCTGGTGGCGGGCGGGGCTGCAGCTGGCGCGGCCTTGCCAGGCGGCGCCTTGGACGTCGGCGGTGCCTTGCCCCCACCGCTGTCGCTTGCCTGCCCAGGCGTGGCCCCTGAGTCGCCCTGTGGCTTGGTCTGGTCAGCGTCGCCTTCGGCATTGGGGCGAGGTCGCTTGGCGTTGAGTCGCTCCTTCTGCTTGGCCTGCTCCTCCTTAGTGGCCGCCGCTTTCGCCTTGAGGTCTCCGAAGCAAGCCTTGGCAGCCTCCGCAAATTGCTTTTGGGGCTCGTCCTTGCGCCGCTGGGCTTCTTTCTCATCGTCATCTGTGGCCACGCCGCCCAGTTCGTCGAGTCCGAGAAGGCCACCGTCGTCCAGACAAAACACTTGGCCTTCCAATAGCGATGCCAGATCGATGGTGGGTACAGCGTTGTGTTCTGGCTTGGCGGCCTGTTCGTCTGCAGCAGCGACGAACCTCTTAACCGCCGCTATGTAGATGCTTTGGGCGAGATCCACTTCAGCTGAGGCCGCTGCAACCTCTGATTGAGCCTCGTTGTATTGCTTCTCGGCCCGATCGAACCTCTCCACTGCACGGCGCAGTCCAGCCTCTGACTGCTTGACCCGTTGTGTGGCGGCTCCGACTGCGATCGATGCCTCCTGCTGCGACCGCCGATACTCGTCGAGCTGTTTCTGGTACTTGGCGGCCCCCTCTGTGTCGCCCGACTGGCCCAGGAGTTTGACCAGAGCCTCGAGGCGTTCCTTGTCGGACGGGGCTTCGAAGCCGTTGTCGAATAGTGGCCCTGTGGCGTCTTCCTGGTCAGGGGCGGTGCCGTCGGAGAAGGATACGCTGGGTGCCCGAGACCTGCTGGATTCGGGCCGCGCTCCACCTCCAGGCGGTGCTTTGCCCCACCAGGGGCGCCACGAGGGTCTGGCAGCTGCATCAGGAGCTGGCGAACGAGCACGATCACGATCGCCGCCTGCACTACCCGAGCGGCGGGGCGGCTTACCCGACGGGTTCGGTAGTGGGGCCCTGCAGTGTTTGCACCACGTCCACCACGATAGATTCTTCCGCATCCGCAGCCTGGGCAACGTACGAAGGTGTCATCGCCGCCCATGCATCCGCCTTGGTTCTGTGCTGAATGGTGTTCTGCGAGGAGCCGCCCAGCGCAGGCGACACGCACCAGCACATGCGCTGCAGTGCGCTGCTGGCGCTCACGCCTGTGCCAAGCGCGCTCCTCACGCCCGGGCGTGACCGCACGCGGCCACAGCGCCGCGGCGCGCCGAGGGGTCTGGGGACAACCTCCCCTCGACGCGCGCAGGCGCCGCGGCTCGCCTGAGCCCAGCCTCTGGGCGGGCTGGCCGCCGCTGCCATCGCTCGCGCCCCGCGAGCGGCAGCGCGCGGCGGGCTGGCCCACGCGCGCGAGGCAAGATGGGTTTCTTCCTCCTCCTCCTCCTCCTCTCCTCCTCCTCCTCTCCTCCTCCTCCTCCCCCTCCTCCCTCCTCCCTCCTCCCCTCCCTCCTCCCTCCCCCTCCTCCCACCTCCCACCTCCCTCCTCCTCCTCCTCCTCCTTCTCCCTCCCCCTCCTCCCCCCTCCCTCCTCCCTCCTCCCTCCTCCTCCTCCCTCCTTCCTCCTCCTCCTCCTCCCTCCTCCTCCTCCTCCTCCCTCCTCCTCCTCCCTCCTCCCTCCTCCCCCCCCTCCTCCCTCCTCCCTGCTCCCTCCTCCCTCCTGCCTCCTCGAGGAAGAGAAAACAACATGACCATAAGCTTCCGGAGGTCAGACGCCCCAAGAAACCAAAAGGAAGTCACAGGAGACTCCCAAAAGGCTCCCAAGGCACCCCCAAAACTTAGGAGCTCTTGGGCACCTCTTGGGGGCCTCGCGCAGCCTCTTGGGCACCCCTGGGAGCGTCTAGTCCAGACCTTCCCGAATGCCTCTTCCATCGTGGGGGGAGGCGTAAACACCGATCATGGGCGCAGACAGCCAGGAGAGATGATCAGTTAAGGAAGGGACAACGATCGGAAAGGAGGGGCCTGCTCAGAGCCTGAATCGGCGATGCATCGCCGATAGAATCGATCAGCGATATGGCCCCGAGAGCAGATCCGCACTGTCCTGGCACTGTCCTGGGTGGGGTGGGCTACCGGGCCTCTGTCGGCGATGACTGGGCGGCTGGGGATCGACGCGTCCCCCCCTGAACCTGTCGTTGCCTCTTGGCTTTCGGGTCACAGCTCGGCTCTCCGGCGGCCGTTCGCGACGCTGAAGGACGGTCCGGGCACCCCTAGCACGCCCCTGGCGAGGATCAGCTGCTGGAGGGCATCTCGAGGCTGGAAAGCCGCCGAGAACCGACGGGAACGCACGAAAGACTCCGTAAGTTCGAAGACGAGACGTTCCCCCCTGGGCCCATCAGCGCCTCAAGTTACCCCAAGCACCTCATTAATCGTCCCCCGGGTCCGGTTTTTAAGGCGCCTTTTTGTAACCGGGGGGGTCCGGTTTACTAGGGCGCTTTCTTTGGATTGGAGCTCAGGGGGTCCGGTTTATTAAGGCGCCCCGTCGAAGGGGGGGGTCCAGAATATTAGGTCGCATTTGGAAGGGGATCTGGGGGGGGGTAGATTAGTAAGGGATTTGGAGAACCCCAGCTCAGCTGACGTCGCCCGAGAGGAGGGGGGGGGCGCCGGCAGAGCCGAGGGGACCGGGGCCTCGTCTCGAACGCCGCTGCCCTGCATGTGCTCGGTCGCACCCTGGGCTGACGGCCGAGGTGGGGAGGGCGGCCCAGGCCTCCGGCGGGCTGGACCAAGAAGCGGCGCGGCCGACTTGTGCGTTGCCGCTGCCAGCCGGAGGAGGAGGAGGAGGAGGCGGAGGAGGAGGAGGAGGAGGAGGAAGAGGAGGAGGAGGAGGGGGAGGTGGGAGGAGGAGGAGGCCCTGGGGACGCATGATCGGTGGCAGCGCTTGGTTTCGTCGCTGCCAGCTGCAAAGCTGGCACGGTGAGTTGCGAGACGGCGCTTGACATCAGTCCCTGTTCTCGCCGGAGGAGGTGTATTACACGGCGGTGTCTGGCCCCACCTCGCATCCTCGAGGAAGAAGTGGGGGAAGAGTAGGCTAAGGAGAAGGGGGAAGAGAGAAGAGGGCAATGAAGAGGGTGAGCTGTGCTCAAACAGCCGCGTCTTGGACACAAGCACCTGATGCAAAGGGCAGCAGGACGGTAACGGTGGGAGCAGCGACGAAGGATGCAAAACAATGAAGAGCCGACTGGACCGGCTCGGCTAAGAGGAAGAGGAGGAGGAGGAGGAGAAGGAGGAGGAGGAGGAGGTCAGTTCCCATTAGTCTCTTGAGGCCACATGTGGATCAAAATCCTCTGGGGCTTCTTCTACTTGAGCGTGGTCTCCTGCCTCTGCCGCAAGTGCCGCAGTATTTGTTGCAGATGCCTACTGACGCTGAGCTCAAGTGGGACGGTGACCCGCAGGCTCTTACTGGTGATCTGTAT